TTTTAAAATAAACACTTATATAATAACAAAGAAAATTGTTCTCAAATAACCTGAAATTGTATGACAAGAAATTAGAAAAAGAAGAACAAATGAAACTCAAGACGACAAGAAACAGACTACAAAACAGGACAAAATGTCACCAAAATGAAGAGGTGGTTCTTTGAAAAGATCAACAAAATTGATAGGCTTTACACAAGACTGAGAAAAAGAGAGAAAACACAAAATCAAAGATAAAAAAAGAGACTGGTACTACAGAAATACTAAGGCTCATAACAGACTATTATGAGCAACGATACATGCAAGCATGGGATCACTAGAAGAAATGCATAAATTTCTGGATACGTGTTACCTACCAAAACTGAATTATGAAAAGAGACCATTCTAACATACCAATAAATACAGAAAGTGAATCAGAAATAAGTCTCACATCAAAGAAATCACCAGTATTAAGAAGTCTCCCATCAAAGGAAAGCCTCATGGCTTCAGTGCTAGAGTCTATGAAACATTTTTTTAAAAGAACCAATGCCATTTCTTCTCAAACTATTCTAGAAAATTGAGGAAAATGGAATATGTCAAACTCATTCTACAACACCAGCTCTTCCTGAGGCTCTGACAGAGAAACAACAACAAAGAGAAAGCTAGAAGCCAGCATCCCCAATAAACATAGATGCAACACCCTCAACAAAATAAAAACAACTGAAATCCCATAAAACATGGAAGAGATCACTAAATACAACCAAGTAGGATTCACCTCAGATATACAAGGATGATTCAAGGGAAACCACTGACAGAAGGATAAAACTGTACAATCCTTTCAATAGATGCAAAAAAAAAAAAAACTGTGATGAAATTCAACATCACTTCACTATAAAAACTCTCAAAAACTTAGTTACAGAAGGCATGTACCCTGATACAATAAAACTAAAGTCTGAAAACCCACAGCTAACACCATAGAGACAGGCAAACAATGAAAACTTCTCTCAGATTTAGAGGATGCCCACTTTCATTACTTCTATTTCACATAGTACAAAAAAACAGCCAGTAGTGCTTCTATACTCTCAGTGAACTATAAAAAAAGGAAATCAAGAAAGCAATGCCATTTAAATAGTTGCCCAAAAGACCTAGGAAAAAAACAGAAAAGTAGAAGATTTCTTCAGTAAACACTATAAAATGCTGATGAAATTGAAAAAAGAATAAATGAAAAAAATCCCACGTTCATGTATTGGAAGAATTAATATTGTTAAAATGTCCATACTACCCCAAATCATTGTGCAGTTTCAATGCAATCCCTATCAAAATTTCAGTACGTTCTTCAGAGAAATAAAAAAAATTGTAAGATTAATGTGGAACCACAAAAGACCCCAAGTAACCAATGCAATCTAAGGCAAAAAGGACAAAGGTAGAAGCATTCAAAATATACTACAGAGCTACAGTAACTACAACAGCATGGCACTAGCATAAAAGCAAATGAAAAGAATAGAGCGCACAAAACATATTTTTGCAGCCAGCTGATTTTTCACAGAGGTGCCAAAAAACACACCGGGAAAAGGACAGTCTCTTCTATAAATAGTTTTGGAAAAAACTGGACATCTACAGGGAACAGAATGAAAGAAGATCCTATGTCTCACAACATATCAAAATCAACTCAAAGTAGATCCAAGACTTAAAAATAAGAACAGATACTATAAAACTAAAAAACATAAAGCAGAAACAGTTGTTTGACTGAGCATAGATTTTTTTATAAGACCTCAAAAGCAAAGGCAACAAAGTAAAAATAGATAAACGAGATTATAGCAAATTAAAATTCATCTGTACAGCAAAGCAAATAACAGTAAAAAGAACTTACAGAATAAGAGAAAATATGTGCAAATTATATATCCAGAAACTGTTATCCAGAACATAGGGAACTCAACAGAGAGTCAGACAGACAAAGAGAACTCAGAAAGAATAGAGGGGAGAGAGAAAGAGTGGAGGGGGAAGAAAAAGAGAAAAGAAAAAAGATCTAATTTGAAAATTGGCAAAAGATCTGAATAGATACTTCTCAAAAGGCATACAGATGCCACTAATCCTCAAGAAAATGGAAAATCAAAGCCAAAGTGAGATGTCACCTCACACCTGTTGAAATGGCTACTATCAAAAAGGCAAAAGACTTATGTACTGGCAAGGAGAAAATAGAGTATGTATACGCTGCTAGTGGGCAATGTGAATTAGTACAGCCATTATGGAGAACAGTATGGAAAAACTGAATAAAAGTAGAACTACCATATGATCCAATATGCAAAGGAAATAAAATCAATATATCAAACAAACATGTATCACCATGGTTTTTTTTGCATCACCATTTATATATAATATATTATATAAATAAATATATATAT